AGCTGTCATCTGTGAAGTCGCACCCCTCATGCACCCTTCCTAATCTGTGCCACATCCGCACATGCCCTCCCTGACTCCCATACTGTACCCTGTGCTACCCTGACCCACACAGTACCTCTTGCACTTCTTGCACATCTGTATGAAACTGATGCACACTCTTGCCAACCCATGCCATCCATTCATGCTGGGGATGATGCATGGCATTGCATGACGGTGTGCAAGAGGGCCACATGGGTCAGGAGGGTGGGTGGAGTATGAGTGGGTGTGCAAGAATCACCATGACATGGGTCAGGAGAGAGCAAGAGCCGTGTTGGCGCAGTGGTTAGAATGCAGTATTGCAGGCAAACTCTGCCGACTGCCAGCAGCTCGATTCCAACTGGCTCAAGGTTGATTCAGCTTTCCATCTTTCTGAGGTTGGTAAAATGAGGACTAAATCTAAGTCTTAGTGCTATGAGGGTGCAAGTGGAGGGTGCAGGGGGGTGGCACAAAAGGACCTAGTGGAGGGTGAGGCAGGGGCACAAGAGATACTGTGCGGTTGGGGAGGATGTAAGTGTGTGAGGAAGGGTATGAAGAAGGTGCAGCGAGGGTCAGCGAGAGTGTATGAGAGATAAGGAAATATATATGAAATGATAACCCAATGGATCACGGGTTGCCTAGTCTTTATGTAAATGTGAAAGTAGTTTTTGTTATGTTGTTCTAGAAAAACAGCATGTGACTTAACCAGTTGCTTCTGTGGGGTGGGGTGGGTAAAATTTGGCTTCAGAAAGTGTCTCTTAATGCCAATTACATGCACTTCTTTTATATATTGAACTTGATATACACAGTGTACTAAAGGTCAATTACAATATGTTCCATTATATGTTTTAAAGAAAATGTTACTATACTTTAAAACATTCAAACTATCAATGGAGTAAGGAATTGTTTAGAAATAACTGGCAACTAATTCAAACATTTAATGTAACATAGGCAATGAAAAGGCTGCGGGGCCTGACGTTTGGTACATCTTGTATATTTGTTTCATACTTTGTAGTAGATCTATGAACCGGGGGAGTGAGTGGCCAGCTGGATCTCTAGGGATTCCTAAGTAATCTACAAACATATCTACCATCTTTCTCAAGTGTGAGGCAGGAGATGGAATTCAAGGGAAACAAAATTAGGAATCTATTTTTCTTGCGTCTTGGTTAATGGTCTTAGGGAGAAGCAAGGACTTTAAAGAAACAGATTTCATCTGATTGAGCCTAGGAATTCAGGTTTCCCAAGAGATTTGGAAAAAGCAAATTAAAGTTGCCAGGGAATGTGCAGGAATCAATGTGTCTTACTCAATTTGTTCTTGATCGATCTCTTAGTCTCTTCAGGCTAATGATGGCTGCCTTTGGTATGTATTAGCCTCACAGAAATTGTGGCATCTCCAGTATTTTGTTATGTTTATTAAGATAAAATCATTTATTATTTTTCACTCCAAGAGAGCAATAGTATTTAGACTTATATGCCGCTTCACAGTGCTTTACAGCCCTCTCTAAGCAGTTTACAGAGTCAGCATATTGCCCCCAACCATCGGGGTTCTCATTTTACTGACCTGGGAAGGATGGAAAGCTGAGTCAACCTTGAGCTGTTGAGAATCGAGCTTCTAGCAAGGAGCAGTGAGTTAGTCTGCAGTACTGTATTCTAACCACCGCACTATTACGGCTCCTAATGGAATTTGGGTGGAGTTTGACCTTAGCAATCTACAGTCTGAAACTATTCGGGCCTGGAAGCCCTGGTTCTAAAGACAAAACTGGAGGCATTTCTTTAAAAGCTTATTTCTGGGGAAGGTTCAGAGGTCAAGGGTTCAGAAGAGGGCAGCATCTCCCCACTCCAGAACAGAGGGTGGCAGAATAGTTCCCTGCCCAAGTGGACTGTTTTACCTGTGAAATAGCCCCCCCCCCCGTATACCCCATGGCAGAAGGGTTGGGAGTGTGGAATTTCCAAAAGGCGGTTTGTATGGACATTGATTACCCCAACCTATTCTTCCCTGCTACGTATTTATTTCCCGATCTTATATATTTTTAGACCTATGATAAATTTAGTATGTGTGATTTTTTTTTTCTGTTTGTATGTTTGTTTGTTCAGATCTTTTGTAGGCCCAACTTTAGGTGGCTTCTTAAATGAGAAACTGGGTTTTGAATGGTCCGCAGTCGTACAGGGAGGATTCACATTGTTAAGTGTAGGTACACTAACATGATTTATTCATTCTTTTATTACATTTAAATATGAAATCTCACAAATATACTAACAACTGCTTTCTCTGAAGGGACTAGCATCTGCAATTTATTATACCTACGAAGCCATACAAAGGAGGAGGTACAGTGAAATTTTATTCTTTTTGTTAAAATTTGATGAAAGGAGCAGAATACTTCGTTACTGATTCTCATTTAGACCACAAAAAAATGAAGGCCAATTCTTTTTTTTTTTTATTGAATTTTTTTTAAAATTTTACAAAAACAAAACAACCCTTCCCCAAACCTCCCCAAACCTCCCATTCCCTCCCCCGACCTTCCCAGAGCTGAATATGGGCTTAATTGAAATTTCTTCAAAAAATCTTTAAAAAGATATAAACTATGAATAAATCTAAATACATTACTTAAACAAATTAACAATTCTTGTTAGTTATATGTTTTCCTGAATTAATTGGCTGGGCTTTTCTTTTAACAGATATCAGCCGTTCAAATAGCATTGTGAACAGGATGCCAAGTGGTCTCTTTATTTCAAAAATTAAAATATTGTTATAATTATTTTAAATACTTGAATTGCTGAATTGTCCTGCACCGAGTTGTCCCACAGTGAGTCGGTCATGTCGAGTTGGCTACAGCAAATTGCCAGTGGCAAGTTGTCCCATTCCATGCCCAGAGACCCAGGCTTGGACCTTACAAAAAGCCAACAGGGATGGAGCTAATCTAATTTCAGGGGTGATGATATTCCAAAGGGAAGGTGTCAGGCAGAAAGGATTGTCCTTCTGGTCCCTGCTAGCCATCACTCTTTAGGATAGGGTATTCAGAGCATCCATCTCCTACCAGATCTAATAAGACAGATAGATACCACTGAGGAGAGACATACGTAACCTAGTCCCAAGCCATGAAAGACTTTAAAGGTGACAACCAGCACCTTGAATTGCACCCAAAAGCACACCAGAAGCCAATGCAGCTCACGAAACAGTGAGGTTATATGCGCTAACTAACTGGCACCAGTAACTGCCCATTGCCACCTCTCTTTGCACCAGTTGAAGTTTCCAAATACTCTTCACGGGCAGCCCCATGTAAAGTGAATTGCAATAGTCAAAGTGGAGGTCACAAAGGCATGAGTGACTGTGAATAGGACCCCTGAGTCCACAAATGGGTACAATTGACGCACAACCTGAAGTTGTGCAAAGGCCCTCCTAGCCACAGCTGCCACCAGAGCTGTAAATCCAGGAAGACCTCCAGATTATGCACAGGGTCTGTTTGAGGTCCTAATGAGGAGGATCCAAAAATTCAGAGCCACTCAGGTCTGGTTTGGGTTGTGCTGAAGCCTACTATGGCCCATCTAGGCTCCATAACTTCCAGACATGGAGAGAACCTCTGCAGCATCACTCAGGTGGCCCAGAGTATAAAGATGAGTAGTATCATCAGCATGCTAAGTCGGTTAGGTCAGGGGTCTTCAGACTTGACAACTTTAAGATTTGTGGACTTCAACTCCCAGAATTCCTCAGCTAGTCAGGGCTGGCTGAGGAATTCTTGGAGTAGAAGTCCACAAATCTTAAAGTTGCCAAGTCTTAAGACTCCTGTGTTAGGTGATCTCCCAGTGGCTCCAAATAAGATATTAAATAGGAATGGAGAGAATATTAAGCTTTGTGGCACCCCATGAAGTAGGTCTGTGGGCTGGATCTCCCCTATCAACACTGAAACCAATCCCAGAGGAAGGAAGAGAACCAGTACAACATCATGTCTTTCACCCTCAACTCCTGGAGCCAGTCCAGAAGGATACCTACCATTCTTTGGTATCGAAAGACATGAGAGGTTAAGAAGAGCAAGGATGGAGACACCACCTCTATCCTATTCCTGCCAGAGGTCATACAGTGGACGCACACACATCCATTCTTCTCCTGCCACAGATCATCCAGCAGTGCGATCAATGCTATTTCAGTCCCATACCCAGGCCTGAATTCTGATTGGAAGGGATCCAGATAATCCACTTCTTCCAGAGTCCTCTGAAGCTGCCACATAACCACCTTCTCTATAGCAGTGTTCTTTTCTGGGGTTCCTGTGTGAATCAGTCAAAAAAGAAATTGTAGCTACCTATGAGTGGACTCTATAAAGCAATGTCATTGTTTCTGCAGCCAATTTCCACAGTGTAATACAATTTATTTATTGGTTTACGCAAAATAAATATGCCCCGTTATGAGAAAAGTGTGCATGTCTTTGTAGTGTCCAATATTCTGAGAACACTTTTTTTTTTTTTTTTGCATAGGTCCCAGCCTGGAATTCATCTTGGTTCAAAGCAAGAAAGAACTCTTTTATTGAATGAAACTTAATGAGATATTTTTCTCATTGCCAGTTTAAATCTAACTTCATTTGCAAATTTAAGAGCACAATGTGCAGAAGACCAGGCAAATGTCATGAAACGTAGTTCTTTCAAAATCCTTCTTCACAATCTTTGGATTATAAAAACACTAGTCTCTAATTAGACAATAATGTGCCATTTTAGTATTAGACACATCATTGTTTTCATGTCTGTAGTGGTCTTCTGAAAAGGTTGCACTGGAAAACGACAATCAAAGAAATTTACAGGGTAAATGTGTTTTGCACAAGAGGTGACTTTTGTACACGAACAAAAAATGCGAACAAATAAAGTATTATTTCGAATGATCCTATGTTGGTTTGGTCAGTTTACTGAACGTTAATATGGAACTGTATTCTGTATATGGCTTTGTATCCTTTCCGTTTTTAGACATTTTCTGAAAGTCAGTATCAAGACAGAAGAAACAGAATGCATTCATACCAAAGCTCATAGGGTCAAAGAAGTCAACATACATTTTAGACTTCCAAGAGTGGAACAAGTTGAAATTTACTGAAATTTAGGATCCACTGGCTTAACAGACCCCTATAGCATTACCTATTATCTCTGGTAATTTTTAAGGAAAAGTTATGTTTCTGGTCTGATTGTGGAATACCTGGTTGACTTTTTCTACCAAGTGTCTTCGAAACCTGAATAGGGAATTTCCCAGTCACAGTGTTAGGGTGGTGAGACTGACTTAATTTCAGGAACTGAACGCTGTTTCTGTCTCTTTTAATATATTTCTTAACAAAGATAATTCTAGTTTCAGGAAGTCTGGGTACAAAGGATATAATGGGATGATCACTGTGTTTCACAATATACTCTTCTCCTAGAGTAGCTGGTGATGTAACAGGAAAATTGTCACTCACCAAATAACTCCATCCCTCCCTTCTTATTAACTTAAAGAGACCTCCCATTTTGTTTCATACTGAGCGAGAATTAGGTTCTGTAAGCATGGCTGCCTTCCAGCGTCATCTTTGGGTTGTCTTCCTGACTGGGGTTGTTCTTGGGGCTTCTGCTGTGGAAACATTCCTTGCTGCTGTCTATGAGCATGCTGTTATACTTACTGGACCCACCCCAAAACTTGTATCTCCAGAAGAAGCCCTGAATTTAATGAACAGAAATCTAGACATCTTAGAAGAAGCCATCAAAACAGCTGCTGAACAGGTACCAACAGATGCAGGGATAGGAAGTTCCACTGTCTGTTCTTGGAAGCAGTGAAATCTATTAATTGAACAGCATTCTTCTTCTTTTTTCTTTCTTTTTGTAGGGAGCCCGCATCATTGTGACCCCTGAAGATGGCATTTATGGGTGGGTCTTTACTCGGGAAACACTTTATCCCTATCTTGAGGATATACCAGATCCTGAAGTAAACTGGATTCCGTGCGACAATCCAGAAAGGTAATCTTATCAAGTCTAAGTAGAATCTCCTTGAAGGTGAAGAGTGGCTAGTGTGATGGATGGCATATAAATTTAACAAATACGTTTGATACACAAAGTAGTATAATGAGTCTCAGTTACTTACAAGCACACTTCTCCATTCTTACAGTGAATTAACAGCGGGTTTTTCTAATGCTCTTCTGTGTACACAATAGTGATTCCAATTTGCATTTGTACTGTAAAGGCAGAATTATAGCTTGTTGGATAATTAAGAATAGGCACACAGCTTTATTTACCTCATATATAACCAAATCTATGTATAATGTTTTAGTATGCTTTTATTGAATTTTATTTGAGTAAGATAGCACATGCAATTAGGAAATGCTCTTAAAATGTGAGTTTTGCAAGTGATTCCCAGTGAAATTTGATTTCTCATTTTTTAAAAAAAATAATAACCCTACGTTTCTGTATTTAAATTTATCAACGCTGGGTTCTTTGGGAAGTATATTTCCATATTAAACAAATCTCTAAGAGGAAATGTTCATACACATTTTGTGGATTTCTTTTATTGGTTTATGTTGAGAATTAATGGAGTTCTAAAAATATATTGTACCAGACTGAATTGATAGGCAGTTGTCCAGTTTTATATCACTAGGTGGCAGTACGGCAATAGATTTTCCCACTAACATAGCTATGTTAATTTCCTTGTTTACTGCACTTTTGTGTATCTGAGAGCCTAATTCTCTATAAAAAATCGAGTTAATTTCCTTGGGAGAGTGCTACCCTGTCTGAATACTATTACCCAAGTAGACACAGAGCTAAGCGGTTTTCTGAACAAACAACATTCCTGTCTTGGTGGAATTCAACTTCAGCCTGCTTTGTCCCAGCAAGTCCCCACAGCCTGTAAACACCAGATCAAGAGTCCACTGGCCTTATGGACTGGCTCTGGGTGGAAATATGTGGATATCATCAGTAAAGGTGTCAGCCTCACTAGGTAGACCAGACCATAAAATCAACTTCACAGGAAAGCTCAGGATACTTTTATTGAGATTGGTTATAATAATAGAATCTTGCAAATCTAATTGTTGGGTACTACCTCCCCCTTCTTACACTCTAGTGAAGTGGGGAGTGTTCTGTTTCAGGAAAAGAGGCATTGAGACAAAGCAATGAGTTCCAACAGTCTCCTTTATTGCAACACCAACAGAACAGCTTTTAAAATGGTGCATCCCCCTTTTATAGCCCCCCTGCACAATACTTTGCTGGCCAATCATTGCAAAGGCTGGAAGCAGCCTTTCTTGTCCCAGGCAGCACAATACCTTGCTGGCCAATCATTACAAAGGCTGGAAGCAGCCTTTCTTGTCCCGGGCATCCACATGGTCTGCCTAGGCCAATCGCTGCAGCCTGTGCCTGCCGGCCCAGGACATAACACCTCTCCCTCCTTGGCTAAAATAATAAGGCACACTTATTATTTTAAATACTCCACACTCCATTACATTGCATACGTTGCATCTATCTATACACAACACTACAGTCTTGCTATCGCCATGCTCCCCACTCCCCTTGAGCTGGATTACTTAACCCAGACTACCAGGCCTGCCCATGAACTGACAAGGACTGTACATAGTTGTGTAAGTATTTGGGAGGACCTCTGGACTGCCCTGATCTTCTCATGGCCAGAGTATGTGCCTGGCCTGCCAGCTCGCCTGCTGCTGACTGGCTGGATCTGCTAAATCCAAGCCAGGGTTCCTGGGGGGGGGGGGTAGAATTCCCCAAGTCCAGTGGTGGGGTGAAATTCCCCAAGTCCCCACTGGACTCCTCTTGAGAGCACTGTCCCTTGAGCCCTAGACCAGCAGCTGGAGTGGCCTGAATGCCGGAGGCTGGAGCTGCCTCCATGGCGAACCCCCTTTCTGTGGACTCCCTGTTTGGAGCAGTAGCTGAAGCCTGGGGATGTTGGAGAGACCATGGTCCACAATCGTAATTGTGGTCCTCCTCCCCCCAAATAGCAGAGCTAGGAGCGGAAGAGTTGCTGGGAAGCTTCCAGTGCAGTTGGTCAATGAGACATTGGATCACACGACCATCATCCAAGGCCACTTCGTATGACAGCAGCCCAGAGGCCTTGCATACCACTGCTGTGACCCAGATACATCCTGGTCCATAGTTCCTTGCCCAGACCGGATCTCCCACTTGTAGTCTCCTAGGTGCCCACGGCTGTGACACCTGTGAAGCCACCCGGTCTGAGTGCAATCTGTCCAGTTTTGTGATGAGGCGGCGACCCCAGTGGAGTTCAGCTGGGCTCTTTCCAGTAGCTGTGCAAGGTGTGGTGCGGTGGCACAGAAGAAAGTCCGCTAGCCTGTGATGCCAGGTCCTGTGAGTGATCCTCTTTAAGGCATCCTTGGTTGTGCGCACCATTCATTCAGCCTGGCCGTTGGAAGCTGGATGGAACGGTGCTGATGTGGCATGCTGGATCATGTTGGCCTGGAGGAATGCCTTGAACTCAAACGACGTGAATTGGGGCCCGTTGTCGGAGACAAGGACATCGGGAAGTCCATGTGCGGCAAAGATCTCTCTCAGCACCTGGATGGTCCTAGCAGTGGTAGTGGAGGAGACAGGCATGACCTCTAGCCACTTGGAATGGCTGCCCATGAGAATTAAGAAGAATTGTCCCTGAAAGAGCCCAGCATAGTTGATATGGACCCTCGACCATGGGGTATGAGTCTCTTCTCACCTATGAACTGGGGCCTGGGGCATCTCCGGCCTTGACTGTTGACAGACAGTGCACCTGTGGACCTGGGCCTCATCATCTTTGTTGAGCCCAGGCCACCAAAGATGGCTGCGCACTAATGCCTTCACCCAGACTATTCCCGCATGTCCCTCATGCAGAGACTGCAGGACTCTAGTCCTCAATGAGGTTGGGATTACTACCCAGCTACCCTATAGGACACACCCCTTGAAGGTGGAAATCTCATGCTTCCTCTGCCAGAAGCTCTGGAATTCTGAGCCTGGACATGTGTCAGGCCATCCAGACAATGCCCAAGTCAGCACGCGTGTTAGCGTGTGATCGGTGGCTGTTTCTGCAGCCACATCCCTAGCACTGAGGGGAGATTCAGGCAAGTCCTGAATAGACAGGATGCGATGGGCAGGTGCTGGATCTGCCTCTATCTGCTGTAATGGCAACCTGCTGAGACCATCTGCATGACCCATTTCTTTGCCTGGCTTGTGAACCAGTGCATGGTCATATGCAGACAGGAAGATAGACCACCTCAGCATTCAGGGGGGATATTATGTGTGGGGTTTGTTGGAAGCAGCCTTTCTTGTCCCAGGAAGCACAATACCTTGCTGGCCAATCATTGCAAAGGCTGGAAGCAGCCTTTCTTGTCCCGGGCATCCACATGGTTTGCCTGGGCCAGTCGCTACAGCCTGTGCCTGCCGGCCCAGGACATAACAAGGAGTATCTGTCTAAACAATTTCCAAATATCATCTGGACATTCTGATTAAAAATATTTCAGCCCCTTTTGCCTAAGCAATAGCTTCTGCATATATTCATCAAGGTTATTTTCATTGCTTTCTATACCACTGAAACAATCCAAAGCAATGGGTAACCTCTTCCAACAATTTTATGCAGAAGTTAAAAAGTATGGTGATAGGGCCCAATCTGCAATGCTGGGTTCACTGAATTGACTTCAGTTCCCTGCCACCCACAGCTGCTGTTACCTAACTAGAATGGATCAGAATTATTGTAGAAAAATATTCTTTATTCCTAACTCTTGCAGACAATTCAAAAGCATCCCATGTTCAATGGAATCAAAACAGGAGTTGGTTTAGAAAGGGCATATTTCTCCAGTCCATGTCATCCACCAGAGATATCATCCACCAGAACAACTAAGCGTTTCTCCGTCTGATGCCCTGGTCTGAATTGTGACACAAAAAGAGTCCAGATATTTTATTCCCTTTAGGGCACTCTGTAATTCAAACCCTACCACCTTCCCAGCAGCCTTTCCTTGAAAAAAGTAGGGTGGAGGTAGGACAGTAATTGTCCGGTATGGTTGCACCCAGGGAAATTCTCTTCAGCAGGGACCACTCCACTGCCATCTTCAAGGCGATGAGCAATATGATCCCCTCTTTTAATGAGGTATCAAGTACTTCCTAGATCAGGAGTAGGCAACCTTGGCTCTTTTATGACTTGTGGACTTCAACTTCCAGAATTCCTGAGCCAGCATGGCTCAGCTTGGAAACCTCTCCCTTTCCCCTCAGCACAGCTGGCTCAGGAATTCTGGGAGTTGAAGTCCACGAGTCATAAAAGAACCAAAGTTGCCTATCCTTGTCCTCGATCCAGCTCCCTCCCCAGCCACTTGAAGAAGCTAGGAGTATGTATCGAAGCCAGAGGTAGCAGAGCTCACATCAGAGAACACCCTACCTGCCTCATCAGAGTTCACAGGGTAAAACAAATCCCTACCAGGCACAGTCAAGCATTTGAGTCACTTTATTAATTAAATAACAGCAGCAGACATTCCCTGTTTTACATTGTTGGTCATTTACTGGCAGTGATGTGCTGTTAAAATGTTTAAGAACCAGCTCTGCTGGTTTCATTACCACTGCCAAACCCCTAACTGTGGAACAGCTGATTGGCACACTAGGCATGGCGGCTGTGTTCTCAATTGGCTGGCAAAATTCCAGAAAGCGGATACAAATCAGCTTCAGCACACCACTGTTACAATCCAAACTATATGGCCTCAGTGCAACTAATCCTTCAAAAAAAAAATCATCAGCTTGTCACCATTTTATTATTTACAGAGAAATATTTTATTTATAATATTAAATAAAATGTTGCACTCAGCTGAGATGAGTAACTGAATCTCAACAGTTTGGATGAATATTTATATATTCTGGCTGAGGAATTCTAGGAGCTGAAGTCCACAAGTCATAAAAGGGCCAAGTTTGAAGACCCCTGATTTATAGCAAGGTCACAGCCAGTTCTGTCTTAGGGCTGTCAGGAATGTTATAATATTAGTTAACCCTAGAATACTGGTCAGCTGTGACCTGACCAAAGGCCAAGTGTCATTCAGAAGTATGGGTCTTGCAACTCTCAGAATTCCTCCATCAGGACGGCCTGACTAGAAATTTTAACAATTGCCAATCTAGAACTACTGTACTGGCAGACTAATGCAATGTTTCTCCCAGATCATGATGAGAATTTTAGTAGAATGTAGAATATGTACATACTGCAAAAGAATATACAAGCCCCAATCTTGATATATATTATGAAGACAAACAGTTATACAAAATATGAATCAGCCACAGATAATAAATTTGCCTCTTCTTTTGGGGTCACTTTTCTAGCCACCATTGATATATTGATAGTAAGATGTCCATATATCATTTTTGCTTAAGATTTCCTTGAAAATATGTTCTTCATTTGTTTTCTTATTAAAAAAAAGAAAAAAGATCTCTTTAAGGCTGTTGATACTTCTGAACAAAGGGATCTGCAGAATCAGGGGCTTTCATCAAAATGAAAATCAGCAATTGCATGACAGAAGCTCCATCCCTTTGATGAAGGCACGCCAGTGGTGGGATTCAAATACGTGAACAACTGGTTCTCTGTGTGGATGCCACTTCCGGAAGTCCATTCTGGGCCTAGGCAGCAAAAACTTAGCTGCCAGTTCTGCCGAACTGGTGCAAACCGGCTGAATCCCACCACTGAGGCATGCAAGAACAAGATGCACACGCAAAGGGGGCAAAATGTGCATCAGGATGATAGAATGCTGCTTTCATAATTTATCCTGCTGAGTTCTCCTGCCTGCTGCTTCTAATTTCTCCCTTTCTTCCTGCCTTATCCTAGCTCAGCAAGAATTCATTTATCAAGCTAGTGTCTGTGTACTGTGGAACATTCAAAAGATTTTTAGAAGAAAGATAAAGTTTACTCCTCAACTATTTTTACTTGGTATTTTCGTTGACTTAAATGAAAAAGAAACTACTTTGATGTTGAATTTATTAACTGCAGCAGGGTTATTAGTAGGTTTATACTGGAAGAAAGATTCTTTGCCTACTTTAGAAGAATGGATATCTAGTTTTGCAGAAATGGCAAAAATTTCTGCTTATTTAAAGGATCATACACAAGAAAGATATATTATTGTATGGAGAAGGTGGATAGATTATATTCAGAAAAAGTATGGAATTAAAAAGTTTCATTTATTTTATGAATGAATATTAAATATTATAGAGAATTGTTTTATAGGTTATGGAGTTAAAGGTTAATTATGACATTTTTTTTCTTTTCTTTTTTCTTTTTTTTCTTTTCTTTTTTTATTATTATAAATTTTGTTATTATTAACCCTGTATTCTGCTCTGGGAAGTGAAGGGAGGGGGGTTGGGGGTGGGTGGGAGGGTAAGGGGGGGTAAAGGTAGTATAGACAATGGTTGCTTATGAATTTATTTTACTTTAAAATTTTATTGTATTTTTATGTTTGTATGTTAAAAAATAAAAAATTTCAATAAAAAAAAAGCTAGTGTCTGTGTACTGTTGATCGATCTACCAGATTTCTAGATACTGCCTTTCTCATTAAATTTTTCCTTTCAATTTTAGGTTTGGATTTACCCCAGTGCAGAAAAGGCTTAGCTGCATGGCAAAGAACTATGGCATCTATGTGGTTGCCAACATGGGGGACAAGAAAACATGTAACTCCAGTGATCCTAAGTGTCCCAGTGATGGTCGCTATCAATACAATACCAATGTTGTTTATGATGCAGAAGGAAAGTTTCTGGCCCGTTATCACAAGGTAACTATTTCTAGAGTGACTAATCTAGGCTTCAAATGTAATGTCCATTAGCTGCTGTCTAAACACGATAGCCCTATCAGTCAGACAAAATATAAAGTAATGCTGCTTTGTTTGAATTAAAAGTTCCATAAGAGCTTCAAGGAGCAAGAATTGCTACAGGTGCTACTTGGATCATGAAACACTCAATGGTTAACCTCTTTGTTTTGAGAATATAAAATCCAGTTGTTATCTGGACTTTTGTTTTCCCTGTTTGTTTTTTTCGTAACATTGTAAAGGACAGGAATAAAGTACAAATATCTACTAGAAAACATCAGCATCACATGTTTTTTCCCGTATTTTTAGTGAAATAATTTTCTTCTAATTTCTCTCTCTCTCTCTCTCTCTCTCTCTCTCTCTCTCTCTCTCTCTCTCTCTCTCTCTCTCTCTCTCTCTCTCTCTCCCCTCCCTCCCTCCCCCCTCCCTCCCCTTTTTATAAACAGTACAACCTTTTTGCCTCAGAAATCCACTTCAATTTTGCGAAGGAGCCACAGTTTGTCAACTTCAACACCTCCTTTGGGAAGTTTGGTGTTTTCACTTGTGCTGATATGCTTAACTTTCGTGAACCTGCCATCTCATTGGTAGAAAAGTTCAAGGTGGACACCATTCTTTTCCCAACTGCTTGGTTAAATACTCTACCCCTTTTGTCTGCTGTTCAATATTACTCAGCCTGGGCAATGGGAATGCATGTGAATATCCTTGCGGCTAATATACACAAACCCAGCTTGGACATTACTGGTAATTACAATCTTTATATACTTGGTTTAAAATTAGATCTTAATATGCGTAATACATATAAATGAATACATACTAATGATCGGCTTCACACCTCACAGAAAATCATAAGGTGGTTTGTTTGTCTTACTTTACATGCTGTGTGTACTCAGCTGTAATGCTTTGGAACCATGGCTTAGCATGTGATGGGAATCTATCCAACTGCTGTGATTTATTGAGGCTTACCAAAATGTATAAAATAAGCATATAATATATAAGCAAACACAATGGAAAACAAAATTAGTTATTGCTGATAAGCATTCAATGATAAGAGATGGTGTGACACATTTGATTTGGCGTCAGGCTTTCATTGCTTTCAGTGTTTTTATTGTTTAGTTTTATAGTTTTAATATGGCTATTATGCTGTTCTAACTTTTGATTGGGAGTCGCCCAGAGTTGTTTATTAGATGTATGGCAGTATAAATGTTTTAAATAAATAAACTATATAGCAAAACATAAATGGGAAAACAGCAACTTGAAGTGACTCAGCATAATACTGTGGAGACAATGTTGACAGGATGTCAAGAGTAAGAAGGGAAATGAGTAAGCACAATGGGGACAAAGCCAGAGAAACACAGAGAGGGAGGAGTTGGAAGAAATTAGCTTAAACTCACTCCTGTTTTATAAAACTGCCTGATTGTTAAATAATTTCATTTGAAAATTGCTCTAGCCAAATCTAGATTATGAACAAGCCAAGATGATTTTGGTGTCATACTTCAAAATGCCTTTGTTATTCTTTAAAGTAATTCAGTCATCCAGGGACAAACAATCTCCTGTTGACTCCAGATCTTAATTCCTTATTTGTTTTAGATAAGGCAATTGCATAAACATATAAAGAGGCACCACACAAACAAGGATAAGTCTAGGACTTTCTTTGTAGAGTGTTATTTAATATTAAGGTGCATTATGTATCGTTCCTATATTAAAATATAGAACCACTAGAAAAACTGTGTTTTTGATTTTTATCAGCCACAGTAATAAGATTCAGTGGCTCAATTAGAGGACACTATAAGGGCTATAGAAAAATGAATTCAGGGACTGGCTAAAGCTGTGGAGCAAAAAATTAGATGGACAAAAAAACACCTTTTTTAAAACTTGCGAGAACATCCTTTATTATTACTATTATTCCAGGAGAATCAAAAAGCTGACAAAAATATATCCCATATCAGACCACATCACTTTTGAAATTAGCATAAAAATACTATTTTCCTGAAATTTGTGGCTGCATGATTTTCTAGGTTTCTGAAATTATTGCTCCACAGATATTTCTTATGACTTTTCTGTATCCATTTGGATACATGGGAGAGAGTCACAAGTGGCTTTCTTCAAAGGCAAGATTGAATGCATTTCATTAGTCCTCACTTACCAATCACTTATTCAGCAACCGTTTGAAGTTATAATTTGGGTACTTGATAACTGGCTGACAATTACAATGTTGCAGGGAACTGTGATCACTGTTTACAACTTTCTCTGCTGGCTTCCTGAAAGCAAAGTCAATGGGGAAGCTAGAAGGAGATCATGTGAGGTCACGCTTAACAACCATATAGCATTTGCTTAATGATCACAGCTGGAACTGATGAACTGATGAAGATAGGCACAGTCATGAGCTATTTCACTTTATGATTGCATCATCTTAACAACAGAGTTTCTGGTCCCATCTGCTGACAGTAAGTGAGGACTGCCTGCATTCCTTTTGCTATTCCTTGTCTAAGGAATACCAAGCAGCCCCTTCAGCTGCACGAGGAAACTGAACAGTTGTTTAAGAAATAGATTTCTGAACTGAGCAGGATTTGAATTCTGAGTCAATCCATGTTCAAAATCCAGGCCTCTTGTATTGGAATCTGGGTTTGTTTCAGGTTCAGGCCAGTTTCTAGCAAGTACTTGACAAGCTGCATTACAAGTAACTTCTTTATTGTTGCGATCTACCAGTAGAACAATGAACAGATCTGTCCATCTCTTTTGTCTTCACAGGGAGTGGCATTTTTACACCCAATGGCCCACAGGCATATTACTTTGATATGGAAAGCCAGGATGGCAAACTCTTACTTGCAGAAATTGAAGCACGTCCCCGTCTTTCTCCCAACTACCCTCCCCCTTTCAACTGGAGCTTGTATGCATCAGGGCTTCAACATTTCTCACCACGGAGCCCAGTATTTCACAACAGTATCTATTTTGATAATTTCACCTTTACGGAACTATCACAAGAAGCAGGAAACTATACGGTCTGCCAGAAAAACCTCTGCTGCTATTTGAACTACAGTATGGCAGAGAAGCAAAAGGATGAAGTTTATGCTTTGGGTGTTTTTGATGGGCTTCATGTGATTGAAGGAGAATATTATTTGCAGGTAAAAGACTCAATGAGGTATGATGGGTTGTGGGACTTTCATTTATGGAAAGGAGAAGAGTAGGGATCCATATCTGAACTGGACCAGGGTATTGTTCTGATTAAGGTATATTGTCAACAATTACATTTCCAGCTAAACTGTCCTTCTTACTGGCATTTTTATACAGTGGAAGGCAGCAAGCTATTTAGAAAGTGCAGCAAAAGCCAAATAGCTTTTTTTTAATGAAAGTTTTTTATTTTTTCCATATAAACATTATAAAAAAAAGTATACAATACAATTTTAAGATAAAATAAACATTATTACGACCTGCGCACTCCCCCCAGGCCGCGTCCACCCTCTCTTAAAACATTCCCTACTTCCCTCCTCTTTCTCACCTCCCATCCTACTCTCTTCCCCTCCCCTTCTCCTCTCCCTACCCTACTTCCTCTCTACACTTGCCCACCTCTCATCCCTATCAAACCCATGAACGCAGCATCAGGGGAGTGCCCAGGCCGCACCCCTATAAGCAACCATTATCTATATTACACTTACCCCCCCCACATTTCCTCCCTCCCACCCCCAACCCCCCTCCCTTCACTTCCCAGAGCAGAATACAGGGTTAATAATTAAAAGGATTTATAATAATAAGAAAAAAGAAAAAGAAAAAGAAAAAAGAAAAAAGAAAAAAAATAATAATAAAAAAGGAGAAAAAAAATATCATACTTAACCTTTAACTCCAATAGCCTATAAGACAATTCTCTGTAATGTTTACTATAATATTCATTCATAAAATAAATGAAACTTTTTAGTTCCATACTTTTTCTGAATATAATCTATCCATCTTCTCGATACAGTGATATATCTTTCTTGTGTATGATCCTTTAAATAGGCAGAAATTTTTGCCATCTCTGCAAAACTAGATACTTTAAATACCCATTCTTCTAAAGTAGGCAAAGAATCTTTCTTCCAATATAAACCTATTAATAACCTTGCGGCAGTTAATAAATTCAACATCAAAATAGTTTCTTTGACGTTCAGCATTAGTATCAGATGCCTGAAACATCTGCTTCGTTGCCTACCAGGGTATGGCTGAGTACTTTCTACTGAATGAAAAGTAGGGGAAACTTTGTATGAAAAAGTACTTTGTATGAATTGAAGGGAAAAAAAACTTTCAGCATGAAAAAGCCATCAGGGTTTTACACATACACACAAACACACACACACCACACACACACACACACACACAAATCTACATTAAGAAATAAATAGTATAAAAACAAATATAAAAAAATACCCACACAAAGACTGTTCTTCCATCTTTTCTCCATATTTAATTTATTACATGTGTATAGCTGCCATAAGTGACTCTGGGTGGTATACAACAATGAGATCACACACACATAACACACAAACACACACATACACACACACAGAGAGAGAGAGAGAGATTTACATTAGGAAATGAATAGTATAAAAACAAATATAAAATAAACCTAGGCAAAGAGAGGATAAAAATGATCACCTCAACAATGAAGCTATTTAAACTAATCTCTGGTTCCCTGTGAGCCTCAGGCCTGATAACATAACTAGGTCTTGAGGGCCTTCCGAAATGATGGACTGGGCTGATATAATTGGGGAGAGGTGGTCCTTCAGATAACCGGGTCCCATGCCAAGATGGCCTTTAAAGGTTGAAATTGGGTGTGGAAGCAAACTGGCAACCAATGCAGTTCACAGAGCTGGGGTGTAACATGCACTGTTCTAGAAACAGACATGTTTAGTCATAACCACTCTATGAAACTTGGCAGTTCTCATAAAACAATCCTTTTCTAGGCAAAAAGATTGAAATAAAATACAAACTATGCTTAATAGCTTCATTATATCTCAAAGAGTCAATGGATCCTGAGAGACTTGCTAGAGCAGTGGTTCTCAACCTGTGGTCGGGACCCCATTTGGGGTCAAATGACCATATCACGGGGGTCGCCAAACAATGCAGTCCACCATATTTTTTTTCCCTTTTCCTTAGCTGTGCTACTCCCTTTTATTCTATTGGCTTTTGAAAGCCAATAGAATAGACTCTCTTGAATAAAGTCTAATTCTATTGGCTTTCAAAAGCCACTAGGAATTGTCCAGGCTGTCTCTGCCCTGCTGAGCCTGCCAAAAGTCCCTTTCTGCAAACGGTGCTGCACCAGTTGAGTAGTCCTCGACTTATGACCGGTTGAGTAGTCCTCAACTTACTACCAGTTGGGGGTCACGGCATTAAAAAGGTTGAGAACCACTGTGCTAGAGTAATATGCCATACAATTTTTAAAAGATGGATTACAAAATAATATTGAAGGACTTGCCTTTTTGCTCTTTCACTCTTTTTCTTTTAGTTTTTTCAACCTTCTGAACATAGACTGTCCTATATTGCTTGAGGCTGTATGAATCCCTCTGGGAATCTTTTCAGCTGAAGAAATGGAAGTTAAAATAATTTTAATGCGTAAGTATTTATGAATGGGCTGTTTTTCTTATAATTCTGGATGACTAGATGTTATAGAGCATTTTATTTACTTGTTTACATATCATATATTAACTAATCATATATTAACCATAGAAAAGTATCAATTATTCCTCCCCTAGCCATTCCTTTGTCCGTATTTACAAACAAATTGCTTAGTAAAGAGCCAACAAAGGAGCGCTCACCAAACTCTGCCTGAGTTAGTTTGCATACAAATCTTTATTCAAAACAACATAGCTCATTTATAATCTCAAAAATTTTCTCAACTCCTTCGTTTTAAACAAGGGTTGAATTACAATTCCTTCAATTCTCTTAAGTATTTTTTTATCAATGTGTCCTGCACACAGACATAAAAACATAAAAAAGTAAAACAACAACAAAAAGCAACTCCACAAAATAAATAAATAAATAAACAAGCTTAATAAGATATTCTGAGTTACTGAAATAGTTTTGTATCAAACTCTAGTATCAATTCTTTGCTTTTAATATAAATTTAGTCAAATTCCAATTTAATCAGATTCCATTAGAAGGAAACAAATTTCCATTAAGTTTACAATCTAAGCAAAACAATTCAGAGTCATATCTTTTGGTTGATGGATATATAGGTGTATTCAAGTTCTTCTCATATTTCATTTATTTAAAAAAAGTAACCTTATTTCTTATTTCAAGAATGGGTATTAAATTTCACATCCACCCCACCTTCCTCAAACCAGAATTCTATGCAGGAAAAAAAATTGTTAAAAAGATCAGACCCCCCCCCCTTTTTTTCCTTTCTGTCTCTCTCACTCTTAAAGCAACATAGCCAGCTGGGCGTGTGGGGGGAGAGACAGGAAAAGAAGAAGAAATTACACAAAAAATCTCACCAGTAACAAAATGTTTTTTTCTTCTTCACATGCATTTTCCACAAATTGTCTCACATATCCTCCATGGGACTCTTCTCATGCAAACACTTGCTATTGCCTTTCCATTTCACTTTTATAGCAAAAAAAAATCTGCAGTTTACTGTTTCTTTCACAGTCTGGGATGGGGGGAGAAACTCACACATACACACACAGAGACACAGGAGCAGCATACCCACACATTCACTTCCATTCAAACTGCTTGTATAAACACTTTCACATACAGATATTTTATTTCATGCTTTCTCCTGACAAACCAATAACTATTATTATAATTTCAAGGAGTTGTACACAAGCCAATGGGCTCCTTTTTTTCTTTTTCCAGTAAATCTCTTTGTTTCTTTTTAAATAAGGCCTTTTAATTTATTATTATTATTAGACACAACACAGACAGACAGACATATACTACCTCCACATTCCTCTAACAAAAATGGACTATATATTGCCTGGGATCCAACAGGCATATAAACTTCTTTTATTAACCTATATGTTTAGTACTTGATATAGCCATTTTTAAAAACTTCCATATTTTAAGCAAAATGCACTAGTGCTTTTAATAGGATTTCTTGGTCACTCAAAATAACAATATTGAGTCATGATACTTTTATTCTTATCCCAGGTCTATTTTCCATCCCATCCTGCTAGCATTTAAAACAGCAATACTTTATCATAATACTTTTACGTTTACCTGAAGTATATAGTTTATTCTGCCAACCTTACCCTAAGGGACTTTCCAGGGGACACCTTATCCCCTTTTCCTTTTTAGCAAATACATATTCATATAGGGATTGGCACATAAAATAATTAAAACTACCTAACTGTGGCCACTGAGTTCCCTCATCTATCTGTTTTTGTTCCCAAATAAAATAACAATATTGAATCATCAGGTCTTTATCTAAATCTTTTACCATTCTACTATAAGGAGGATGATTCCACCCAGCCAAGATCTTTCCCAGGGGCCTGACCTTGGGAGTCCCCTCTTTGATCCTTTTGTGGCTTCTTGGAAGGTCTATTATCCACCAGTGGTTGGCGCCTGGTTCTCTTATTGTTTTCGGTCTTGTGCGACCACCTTACGCTTCACCGAGCTGCTTCTCTCCTTTTCCGGTTAAAGGAGTCCGCTCTCACCTCGCCTTGCCGGCCTAGCTTCAACTCTTGGGGCGCTGCTTTCTCCCTCTTCACAAGTCTTCAGATTCACACCATCCCTCCCACTCAGCCCGGATTTTCTTACTTGGGTCTGTGCACAGGGTTTCCAGGCAGTTGGTACTTGACCCACCTCCTTGCCTTGCCAGTCCTGCAGACCCTCGGGATATTCACACCTAGTGTATGTATGTCTTGCCAGTCTTCCAGGACCCTCAGGATATTCACAACTATGTGTATTTCTTGCCAGTCCTCAGGACCCTCGGGGCATTCCCAAAAAAATGACCTGACTTGCTTTGTACCTGGAATCCACTATTTAGTGTCCAGTTCTTCACGGTACCAGGCCAGGGGTGGTCACCTTTCAGGAGACCGTCAAAATCAGTGTGGCACCTGTCCCCTTAGGAGTGGCCACTCCCAGGGATCCAGGGACCATTTGGATATCCCAGGACGATCCCCCTGGTTGTTTGGAACGTGGCTCAAAATCCCAAAACAAACGAATTCTCTTGGAATTCCAGCAACAAAATTTTATTCAAAAAGAAGAGTTTGCAAAGGCCTGGTAAGCTGAAACACACGCAGGAGTTCAGCCACACCTCTAAGAACAGTTTGACACATTTTTATATCCTACCCCCAATGCAGATTTCCCCCTCCCCTATCGCACTCAACGCCCCTTCCCTAATCATTGGATAAAACTAACCGCCTAAAACCACTGTCCCTCCCATGTTCCAGGAAGCCCCTTTATGCACTTCCTATCTATCACCATCTAATTTTCTGTTAACAAAGCTCGGCTCCTATAGTAATTTCTGTATTTCCTCTGCTTGCGGTTTAGGTTAGCTAGCAACTTCTGCTTTTCTTATTTGTCTGTAATTTACTTGTCTGATTTTTATGACTTTCCGGTGGCTTCTTCTATCGACCTTCATTAGAAATTTCTGAATAATACTTTATTCCTTTCACACATAAGCCTTTTTTCCTCCTCTGACTATAGATCTGCACACTTCTGAAGTGTAATGGCACAAACTTGAAATCGTGCGGCCAGCGAGTTGATACTGCTGCTACCAGGTTCAATTTCTTTTCCCTCAGTGGCTCATTTAACACTAATTATGTGTTTCCTGAAGTGCTGCTCAGTGGGACCCAATTGGCTCCTGGAGAATTTAAGGTAAGTTTCAAACTTCAACAAGCATATTGGCTTCTTGAGATATTTTTAAGTTAAAAAATAAGCCACTTGAAAAATACATATGCAGTTACAAGAATGGTGTTGTGATTATGCTAAAAGCATATCTGCAATTTCACCAGTCTCTATGGAGGGTAACTGTTTTTTCTAATATCACTAGTTGATGACTCTGCCATATGATTCATCCAATGTATTATTTTCCCTCAGTGAAGAAGACTTGCACCCATTGTACCCAGCAAGTAACCACTGGGAAACCAATAGTGTGTTATGACCCAGATTGCCTAGGCAGAGGCAAGCCTCGATAGAGTCCTTTATTGCTCTGTTAATTTCCACAACAAACGGCCTTGCAATGGCCAGTAAGGCTCCACTCCAAACTTCCTTGAAGGTAACTACCCACAGTCCCCCAAACAAAAGCCATAATGGAACAAAACCAAGGTGCAAGCTCATGGAACAAGGTCCAGAATCAACAAGGTCCACAGGGCAAGGCAAGTCCACGAGGCACAGGCAGAAGGCAAGGCACTGGCAGAAACATGAGTCAAGGCTATGTTTTTCCAAGATGGGGGGGGGGGGTGCATGCCAAAGTAAATAATCATTCCTGACAAAGACAATCTCCCCCTGGCCTCTACTTAAGTCAACCCAAGCCAGGTATTGTGAGGAAGAGCAGGGCAACCTTCTCCCGAGCAGCTCGCAGATCTCCTTTGAGCTTGCCTCTGCTCTTCTCTCTGTGTCCTTGGATCGAGTGGGGGGGGGTAGTTGTTCTTCATCAGAGGGGATCTGCTGCCAATTGTCACCCCTGCCTGTCCCCCATGTCTGTGAGGGCAGGCAGCTCCCCATCCAGTTGACCAACCTCCCAAATGCCTGAGACGGGGCCTGGGACAGGGGCCTGGGACAGCATTGTCTTCAGCCCCTGGCCTCCCAAACATTCCAGGGAAGACATGCCATCCCCATTGGATGATCCCAGTTCCAACTTCTCCTCCTCCTCTGAACTGGGATGCAATGAGGCTAAGACACTGGTAGATGAGGAAGAGCGTTTGCTGGAAGGGGTGAGGATTTCAACTAAGGAAGGCTATATTAGGCTGGAATAGCCCATGGACCTCCCATGCCTGTTCTCTATGGTTGTATACTAAATTATTCAGTCACAAAAGGCAAATTGAATCCCTATGTTCTTAATTTCTAAGCTTATAATAAAGAGAATATTTGACCATGTTCTGCTAAGGACACTTCTGTCATATTTGCCATCTAGGGTCCATTTAGGCCTGTTCTGAGAAAGCCCCTGTGCCTCAAGTCTAGCTTCATATTTGAACTGAGTTCTAACTCTTCTCCATTATGTGTTTATATTGTAATTTGTGACAAAACATCTCTGCCAAATATCACCTGTAATTTTTGCCCCAAAGTACCAGGGTTATGAATTACAGAGGCCTCCAAACAAACCAGGCCATTTTCCCTCCAAGATCAGTGAGTAACCAGGTGCTGTCTTTATTTGGAATAGGCAACAGTAGATGTTGATGAAACTGGATTGTTTTGCAACTCAGATGGCAAGCTGTATAAAGCAAAATAATAGTAACAATAACAATAACAATAACAACAACAACAACAACAACAACAACAATAATAATAATAATAATAATAATAATAATAATAATAATAATAATCCTGATAGGAAGCTGCTGTGCTTAATTTTCAGTGATTAAGCTGTCTGTATTTTCAAGCACCTTCCTTCTCCAATAAAGCTTTTGCATGTGTGATTTTTAAATGTACACTTTTTTTTTATGTCCAGGTTTTGCCCGATGGACAGATGATTAGTGAGAAAGGCCTGTCAAAGCCACTTCTAGTGGCAGCTCTTTTTGGAAGATGGTATGAAAAAGACTCTCCACACCCCACCTCCAGTACACCATGAACTAGGCCTTCATAATTTGCTTTCCTTTCACGTGGGCAATATTTTGTGTTTGGCATAGAAATTATGTCTATTTTCTAACATTTCTGGTAGCTAAAGAGAAAAGCCAAAGCGAAAAATGATCAATATTCCATCATGCACAGGATTCAAATGAATGCTTCAAATGATGCAATCAACTTTCTTCATCCATGAAAATGTATGGGAATCCAGATGCTATTCCTTTCTCTATATGAGACAGGGTATTTTTCATAACAACTTCCATCTTTTCACTTTCCACCACAAAGCTGTTGAGCAGGAAAAGAAAGGATAGTGTAACTTGGAACGTTAGGCATGATTAGCATTTTGATAAAGCTGTTATTAGGATTTTAGCATGGCATCCATGTCTCCTTTTTAAGTTTAAGAAAAGTTTTTCCTAGCCCTTTCAGGGTTCATTAATCAAACAATAGGGTTGTATTCTGAAATCCTTGAGTGTTGCAAATGTTAAAGAAACAAGCTTGAATGGAAAAGGAGAAGATACAACATATTTAAGGGTAGGGGTCCCCAATCCCAAGGCCGTGACCCATTCAAAACTCAGCTGAGCAAGCAGGATGTGCTGACAGCTCTGTTTGTGTGAGTGGTGGGTGCTCATGCTTGTGAGCAAAGCTCCATTTGCATGAGAAGCAGGTGCACATGCCCACTACTTGCACAAATGGAGTTGTGCGAGTTCACAAGCATGCCTGTGACTCGCACGGAACTATCCCTTTGCCCCTGACCGTCCACCAAGCTGCTTTTTTAGGGGGTCTGTTTTTTCTCATATCTAATCAATGTCTTATTTTTATTTCTGACTCATCGTATATATTAAATGTATGTGTCATTTGTTTCTGTGCCCCATATAAAATCTTGAACCCCCTTAATAAAATGCTCGTCGCTTTCCCAAAAGTATTTATGGTTCTTATTGTCAGTGGTGAGGGGAACAAAAAACCACTTTGCAATGGTATTAGGTGTTTGTGTCTAAAAACAGATGAAACTCTATAGATTTCTGTTAAACTTAAAGATGGAGGAAGAACAAGTAAAAGAAACGATAACATGGGCAAAGAACTTTGGATATAATGTAGAATTAGAAGATTGGCAAAAGTTATGGGAAAGAAATATTAAATTAACTAAAGCAGTGGCATATAAAGAAAACGTATATAAAATGATTAAAAATACTTCAAATAACTGACAATTTGACAATTTTTGATAGAGCTTCCATGGACAACTATAGTCTATCCCTGACACAAGATAAATGATTTTTTTTCTTCTTTCCTCCACTTTTAGGTGTGGAAGCAAATACATTCTTATGTAGCTTCCCAGTTTTGTCAGATCTTATTCTGGGAATTATCAAGAAATGGGAAAGCAACTTTTTCGCAGAAAAAGCATTGAGGGTGTCTAGAAAATAAAGTCCAATTGGTAGAAAAAGGAGGTAAAATGTTTAAGATGTATTATAGTTGGAGGGGAAAGGAAAATAGATAATAAAAGGGTTAAAGCCCGCAAAGGAGGGAGACCAATAGCTGTATATAGAACAAGTACTGGGGTCTCTGTTGAATCTGCTGTCCAGATAGCTAAGAAGGGTTGGACTCACTACACAGGAGCAAAGGTGGCGACTGGACCTGAAAGAGATTGGACGGTCATTCCAGGACAAGGACTGAAAGCCACATTTAAAAGGACTTGAATGGGTGGTGGACCAGAACTCCTATCTGTTTTGAACATCTTTATTAGAATTCCAGGTGACCCCAGATGAGGAACAAAGGTGTTGGTGGTGACTCATGAGAGAAATAAAAGTGGTTTGTTACAAATAAAAACAATAACTGAGTCAGAAGTCATACCATTAGAAACTGAAAATGTAGAATTGTAAATTGTAAGAATTAGGTGGTAAATGTGTGTCTTTTTTATTGTCAATGTGGTTGCTGCTGCTGCTATTATTGTTGTGATGGTGGACCAATTTGTGGGTGTGGAACACTGTGTAATAATCATGAGAGGGTGGATTCTAATTCTAAGATTATTAAAAACAACACATCAGAGCAGTCTGGAAAGTGAAGATAAAAATTTGTTTCTGGGATTTATGACATTCATGAAGCAATAATGTATATTGCACAAGAAATCAGGAAAGTGGCTAAAAGCTGCTGAATAAAAGTATGAAAATATGTGGGGTGATTGGAGTTTGTTAACTAATTGGCTTCCCAACATGGAATGGTTAAGACAACTGTTTCTTGGCCTGATATTTTTAGTGGTGATAGGACTTACGTGTTGTGCATGTCTGCAATGTATTCCTCTATGTGTATCTGCTCTAACCAAAGCTGTAGGAAACGCTTTAGGAAAACCTTAAGAAAAGAAAAAATTATACAATTAATAGTTGTAAGATTTTCTAAGCAAGATAATGAAGACCTTTCAGAATAATAAAAATTAAAAGGAGGGATTTGATAGGAATAAGTGAATGGTCTTCAAAATTCAATATTGAAAGAAAAAATTAAAATTGAATCTGCTGTGTAGTGGAAACTTACTGAGACAAACAAGCTTACCAAAGAAACTACAATGGATGGGAATCAGGAAAGGGTAGTGTTGAAAAAATAATCTTCATCAGGGTCCAGTCCAAGCCAGGAATAAACAAAATGGAGACTGCTTTTGGAAGTGGCTTGCTATTGCCTTCTTTCTGGGGCTGAGTGAGAGTGATTGGCCCAATGCCACCCAGCTGGCTTTGTACCCAAGGTGGGATGAAAACTCATGGTCTTGTGGTTTCTAGTTTAGTAACTTAAAATTACATCAAATTGGTTGTCCATTGGATTTTGCCTGAGTTGAATTAACATTGAATACATTGTCTTTTTAACTATGTTAGGCACCTGGTACAAGTAGTTGAATGCTGGTTAGACTGCTCATCGAGATGATTATATTTCATGTGAGAGAAGTTAGCCCAGAGAAGGAAATATTAATAAGGCAGAAAAATATATTTTTCCTCAAAAGGACTTTTTTTAAAACCAAACCTGGCCCAAATCTATCTCTCTGCCCCAAGTAAGAGCTAGCCCCATATGAATGCAGGTGTAAAACCATCAGAGAATTGAAGCCAGAGCAATCAAGAAGACAAAAGAGAAGATCTGCATACCCCACCCAAACTCTAGGAGTCATTAGCCCCATCACCTGGGAAGCAGGATATGACAATAGGATTAAACTGCAGATATCAAGGCCTAGACAAACACTCAGAAACAGCCTCAAGGTTCATGCCACAGGAACAGGAAACTATTCCAAACAAGGCTAGAGAGGGTATAAAAAACCTACTGCCCATGTGCTCTCTCTCTTTCCTCTGCTCCTTCCTGCAAGGACCATCTTTCTGCTTCTTCAATAAACTGTAACCTTCTTCCCAAATCAGTCTCCATATTTCTTATTTATTCCCGGCTTGGATGAACCAGGATGAAGACTTAATTCTGACAATTTGGCACCCCGAGATGGGACTCCAAGCTAACCTCTTCAATGGATTGAGACTGGTAAGCCCCATCTTGCCGGCAGCAGACCCCCTTGTGTATGTGGATGGGTTTCCCAGGCCTTGCCCATGTGGAGCTAGGGTAGTAAAGGGAGTTTTGAGAGTTTGAGCTCAAGGGCTGCTTTGGAAAGAAGGTGAAGGTGAGTACCTCTAAATTTTAAGTTTAAAGCCCAGGGGAACAAAGAAAATGTGTGTATTTCTGTTTGTGTGCGTGAGAAGACCTTTTTTTTCCCAATCACAGTTGGATTTTGCTCTTTCTGGTCTTTCCTAACTGCAGAAAGGATCTGTTTAATTGGCGGAACCTGGAAAGCATGGGGGTTTGGTCAGAGCACAGAACCTTTTGTTAGGGAAAAGGGAGAGGCTGTGTGAAAATGAAATGGAATGAGTGAATGAAAGAATTGGATTTGGGCAACTAGCTGGTAAGGCCCTGTAAGCAAAGCAAAGTTAGGAAATTAAGCCCCAAGAAGGGAGCAGCCACCTACCTTTGAGGGCAAGCGGAAGTGCCCACGGATATTGGAGGTCCAGGTGTCCGTAAACGGTGGCGTGAAGCCGGCCGGTCGAAGAGTAGCCCGTACCTTCTAAGGAGGGAATCCAGAAGGTCTCTGCAGACCTCTTTTTGGTCTGAAAACGTGGTGGATCCCTCGGAGGAGCCCACAAACTCTGAGAAGGATCCAGAGAAGCTCCGTAAGTCCCCTTTTTTCCGGACTCACAAAATCATGGTGGTAGGAAAGAAGTCTCACAAGGAAGCTTTGACTATGTAGTGCCTTTTAGCATTAAGAGGAAAATCCCATCATAGAAGCATGGGAGATTCCAATTCAAGAGTGTAGGTTTCCCCATTGAGAGCTTGCTCATAGCCTGGGACAGGAATCAGCTTCCTGTCCAGGCCGGAATGGAAAAGAAGTAAGTAAAGAAACTATATGAAAAAAAATAGACTTTACTTAGGGCTTTGCTGGGAAACCAATTTGGCTAAATAAAGGTACTTAAAAGGGAAAATAAGAAATAGGATTCTCTCTATCTCTCTCTCTCTCTCTTCTCTATGCAACCACGTGGTACGTTTAAAATGTATGCCTTCCCTAACTTGAGTTATCTGAAATTTATGGTGGGAATGACTAGCATGTGTAAAACTAAGACTTGTTTCCTTTTCTCTTGTCTTTGTGTATATATGTTTGTCAAAGTCTGTGTGTGAGAGGTAAATGTGACTGTTAACTGTTTCAAATCCAAAGGAAAAAGAATTTTAAAATCTGCTAGAAATTCTGCTTAAAATAAGCTACAAAAAGGAAATACCTCACTCTGTTTGTCTGGCCAACAAACAGAGTGAAGAGGAAAAAAAATGTGTTTGTTTGCTCTGTGTACTCTCAAGAACAGCCTTAAGTTACCAGGAGGGATTGTTTTAAGTTTATCTGTTGGAAAAGTTTCACTTGCATTTACTGTAGGTGTTTTATCTATCCTTTTCCTGAAAAATGTCTGTCTATCTACAAGAGCCTTTTGAAATTCAAATCTGCTTGTGTGGGGAAATAATTTTCTTAAGTTACTTTTCTTATCCTATCACTTACTGGTGAAACTACTATGAAGCTTTCTGAAACATAAGCATTTTCCAATCTCTAAAATAATGTGATCTATTTTAGAATAAATGTTAAAGGCAGATCCTCCTGCCCTTGGCAAGTTGCACATCTTGAAATATTAGGCTTTTAAAATTATTTGGAGTTTTCAGCATTCTCAAGCTGCCTAGCATTATTTTTCCTTTCAAGTTGCAAGTTCTTGTCCTTAAAATGTTGCAAATGGTCAAGTTCAAAGGTGACACATTTCATTTTGTTGTTCCCCATTTGTCTATCTGTTTCTTTAATAACTGCAATATTGATGCCTTTTCAAACTGCCTGCAAGCTACCCTCCCTTCTAATTCTTTTCTTGCTCTTTGTTCTCCATACCTTTTGTCTGCCTCTCCTGGGAGAGTCCACCCAGAAAGGGGAGGGGAAGACCTTGTTCTTGTATTTTTCAGCCCTGCAATCCTCCTCCAAACCTTTGGAAGCAGAACACACAGACCCAGATTCTGCCTCCATCCATTTGAGCCATGGAATTGGGTTTTGAATCCAGCCATCCACTAAAAAGCCACCATGCAATCTGAGTGGAACAGCTTCCCAAGTCCTACCATTCCCCAGATGCCTGTGAGAGCTGCAGAAGGAAGGAGTCCTGGAGCCAATGATGCCATGTGAAGCCTCAGAAGAGAAAATTAGACTGTGGGGGGGAGGGTGGAAACTCATTGTAAACTTTCCTTTCTTGCCCCATTTGTATTGTAACAAGCCATTTGAATATTAATGGATTTGGTGGGAGGGAAAATTATCCAGAATGTTTGTATTGCCTGTTTGTATTAGTAGTTGCACACACACTCACACCATTCACACGTTTCAGAGTCTATCCCCTCCACCTACCTTTA